GACCTCACTGGGGAAATTTCTTTCGTTTCTATGCTGTCTGTTTTCTATGGTGCTCGCTGCTTTTTCTCCCCAGCAACGTTCCTTTCTTGTCTAATTTTCGAACATTGACACATCAGTACGATCGCTCCCTGTGCCTTCGAAGAAGCATTGCTATATTTCCATTTTCCTTTCCCATTATTTTACAAGCTGATTAATTGAGTAAGTTTGTGTCTATGACATTGCTTTTAGAAAAAAATTTAATCAGTGAAGGCGAGTTTTATTGGTGCAGAGCGAGATCAGTGAAGAAAGAGCACCACAATTCAGTTATGACTTTATTTATATTCTTTGAAAATTAGTACTGCAAATTTTCGTCGTAATGAAGGATTGTAGTAGAAGTACATCGCTTTTGTCCCTAGCTTAACATTCATAAGGAAGAAGCTGTGGAATGAAGGTAAGTACACCGATCACATGCAGGAAGACAGTCACAGTGAAAGCCACAGCCAAGAGCAGGAACAGAATCACGATTACTAGGGCTACTAGGAGAATCGTGAAGCATGTCTGGAATAGGAAAAATAGTCACGAAAAATTACGTATATGATGAAAATTCTAAGAACCTTTCTAGATCTACCACTCGGTGTAGATTTGGTAGATGTTGTTGAACCCCTACCGCCTCCTGCTTCTGAAAAAAATCACTTTTTGTTTCATGAATACATCCCATGCGCACAAATTTAAACCTTTCAATGCGGAAGAACAACGACTCATTATGGCAAATCAAATGGTTAACCCTTTGCTTCCGAAAACGAGAAAAGTCGAGTGCAGACCATACACCACAAGTGACGACGGCCTCCACAAAATGTAAATGTTTTCTGCCAATGAAATGATTAGCCTGTTGCAGTTGTATTCTATCAGTTGTCACTAATTACAACTATCATTTACAACTAATCAGCTATCACTATGAATTACCAGCAACCATACTTGGAGGCTGTCGTCACTTGTGGTGTGTGGCCTGCACTCAATATGCTTCTTTTGCCGGGAGCAGAGAGCAGGAGCATGCCTTCTCTCGAGTAAGTCATCTCCGAAGATGCCATAGATAAGCCGATCAGACGAGTAGGCGGATGAAGAAAATGCGTACTAGTGAATGGGATGCTCCACAGCGAGCGAGGCCATTCGTTTTCTCGATCGTCCATTACCCTATGGCTCGAACGCATGCCTCAATGATGGAACTGAGTGGGAGCCCACTAATTCGCCGCTAATTTAAACTATCTATTTTTGTATAACAACGTAGTACCTTTGCACCATATAAAATGTGACTAAAGCTTATTTGAAAGAGCTATGTGATCATGGGCTGTAGCTGCTAATGTAGTTGAGGGGTAGTCACCAACGCGGCGCGAGGCATGTTTGTGCGCTTCAGTGCGAAGCGAGGAATTTGTGAACTAGGGGCCGGATCTTTCCGATTGCCATACTAAAATTAGGAGAGAGACTGCGCCATCACTCTTTTCTCTGAGGGGTTGCGCTGTCTGGAGTCGAGAAAAGCAGAGTATGGCAGTTCCTATGAAGCAAACCTGCCTTTCCATTGGATAGGCTCACGGCGCGGGTACGTTCCACTGAGGAAAGAGACTGCGCCCGCTGGAGTGTAGTCAATTGGGGGGTTGGGATGGGAGTGAGGAGTTGAGTGCAGTACTTGACATCATTGTAAGTAGAATGTGCAGTTAACACTTCTCACTGACTGTGAGAAGGACATGAACTGCCGCGTGCCTCGGCCGCAATGCCCTTCTCTCCTACGGGTTACACCGGTTCCTTACATCGATAGTCGTGGCATGTCATTTTTCGGTGATGTCGCTGGAATTGAAGTGAGTGAGGCACTCACAGAACTTGGGAGTAAGCCTCACGGAGGGGAGGGTATTCTGGGAGAGGATGCGAGCAATTCTTGTTCTCCCTTTCGTTTCTCTCTTCTTGAACTCAATTCACACCACTCCTTAAAAAGCACCCAAATACCATATAATGGTGAACCACAAAGAATCTTAATGGATACTGCCCCTTGCTATCGTATATGTAGAGTTTTGTCACGACGGCTGTCAGGCTGCTCATGTTCTGCGTATAAGCGATCGGATCACCTCAGAGCACCGACCATAGAATGCATGCTGCTCTGAGTGCACTGGTAAGAACTTTCCTGTATAGATTGGGGCGTCAGGGGTGAGTGGCGAGTAGGGCGATGAGGCGGCGAACTACATACGTATCTATGTTTATTTGCCCGCCCACAGAGAGTTGTAGCGAGTAGCGAGCGTCTATTGACGGAGCACAAATAAATACGTACCTTTCACCGTCTATGCCCACTCCTAATCATCTGATCGCCTAATCGCACGTGCAATCGCCAACTTCGAACGCTACATTAGGCTTCAATTATGGAATGCTATCGACGCGTGACGATTGTCAGAGATTCACCTTTGCTGGATATAGAGAGAAGAGAGTCATTTTCGAGGGCGTGACAAACTATTCTTAGCCTTAAGATGTGGTCCTTAACGGAGCCAAGCCTTAGGGGTAGGTAGAGAAGAGGGTGTGTGAGCCACTCTCATTTTCCCCGTAATTCCTGTCCCTCCTAGGCTTAGTCCTAGAAAATTCCCGTATCATGCGATAGCGCCCAAACTCGAACACTGAGAACGCAATGAGAGAAGAACATTGGAGATAATATCCTTCGTTAACAAAGCAATTTTCCTTACTTCTATTTGCACCTTGATTCGGTGCACCATCAGGCGCGGGGGGCGGCGGTTGTGCCCCACCCGGCGGCGGTTGTGCCCCACCAGGAGGCGGCGGATTGAAGTAATCGTTTTCCCTGAAGACTCGATTAAAGATGTCTATCAAACAGTAAGAGATTATTTACATTTTTTTGCTTTCACAAAATCAATACTACAAGTAAAACATATGTAACTCTTTGACAAGGGGTATCTTTACTGACATATTTTGAAAATGCTGGAAAGTGAATCAAGTGAAGTGTCGAAATTCTTCTACATGAAGTCTAATGAGTTGTGCAAAATTCCGACTCACATTTCAGCCTCTTAGGAGCCTTCTGAAGATTGAACTAGAAAACGAATAATTAGACAGCTGCTTCCCCTTGTGACTAACAACGAAATGATTCACCCAGCAAGCGTTATTCTAGATTGTTTATATTGGTTTAACATCGTGCTCTACATATCACTTCTCGATTTTGATGCCCCTGTTCCAGTTCTTAGCATGGATAAGTGTGTCGTTTCGTGCTTATTGCACGTGCATGCAGTGCATCATCTTGCCATACTACAGTGGGACTAAAAAAAGTCACTCTGCCCATGACACAATCATCGAACTTTTCGTCGCACAGGGTGCCGGTGTTATGGACGTTTCACGGCGAAATATTCCTTAGATGTCCCCCCATAAGCAGAAGCAGGCCCTCCTTCACTGCCCTCACCGTCTTCAGAATATGACGTCATCTGTCATCACCGTCAAGCTCAACAAGGCTATAGTAATCGCTACAGCCTGAATTTCTGGGATCGGATAATTGGAGGATTGCTTTCTAGACATTAGACATTACTATACAGGGCTGCTTTTAGTCAGCCTTTCAGATAAGGTCGTAATGCTCCTTGATCCGTTGACGACCTCGTTGAGCTTGTACCGTGCTGAGAGGAATTTTTCTGATGTCGTTGGGCAGAAGGTTAGCGTTAAGCTTTTTCATAGAAAGAAATAGGCTCTTCAATTTCTAGCTGGGATCGTCCGGTTTAGATTGTGCACAGTGGAATTAATTCTGTTTGAGAGTGGAAGGGAGTGACCCTTTTCGTAATCGCATATTCCATGAAAGAAGACCGGGTGCTACAGCATAGGCAAAAATTACAGTAGCAAAAGGTTGCCGCTGTCAAGTTTCATTTTAACATCAGGGGTTTTTGATGCATATTCTATGTGATTATTTTGACAACTCACTGTTCCATCTTTGATGAAATATATCAATTTCGAAAAAGGCTATACTTTAACTCTTCGAGAAACAATCACTACTTTGCTCCGACAAGCCATCGCTACAAGCATAATAGGAACATCTCCTAGTTGAGCAGTCGCGCTTGAGAACCTTGGACCTACTCGACAATACCCGAAGACTGGGACCCTTCCTTGCAATATGATTTCTGCATCGATGCGACTCTCATCGGTGATACACACGAACGCCGAACGGTTAGAACTATGCTGGCCAGTCGGTGGGCGTGAAATGCCGGTAGCGCCACGGGAAGGGCCATGCTAGGTCACCGGGGCTCTCCGTCGCTGCAATTTGCGTGCCACCACACCTTTATGGGTGCGCTTTTCTTTCCACTCTGTGAGTCCCCTTTCTTCGAACTTCGAGCTTATCGTGGAATCCTCCTTCAGCACAGTCATTTGTCTCACCTCAAAGATGGATGTTCGAAAAGGATTCTGCGAGAATTCAATGTACATCAGTTTCTACTGTTTAAACAATTAGAGCAATTGCAAGCCTCAAAGGCGCGGGTCGCGACTGGGTTCGTGTGCATTTTGCTCAAGAATGGAAAAAGGAGTGAGAAGAGGGCTGTCAGTTAGGAAGGAAAGCAAAAACAACTAAATAGAGCACTAAACCAAAAAATCTTTTCCGGTGAAACCCTTGCATCGGTGTTTTCTTTTGTTCCAGAGGTTGATCGTTTTAGTTAAATTAACCCAAAACTAAGAATCACCGCCTGGGTGAAATCGATGATCTACTACGGGTTACAACACCAAGAATCCGTAACTCTACAACATGAGCTACTGCGTTGCCTTAGTACTGAACCCTTTCGTCCCTTTCTTCCACTCTCTTACCCCCTCCCACCCTCTATCCTCCTCCCACCCAGGTAGTAGCAATAGTGGTCTACCCTCAAATCGTTCCCCTCTGGGCAGCCTTCAAAAGTAGATTACTTTTCTTTCTATGTGCATAGCCCTCTTTCAAACGTATAATGAACAAATGATTGATTTATTTAATGTTCGATACATATATACATCCATCACATCAGATCAAATTTGTGATGCTATCGTTCTAATTTCTGGAATATTTTCGACGTATTCGGTAGCGACGTCTTCAAATCTTTGAGACATTTTTCCAGATCGAGATATTGCAGTGCCAGGCGTGAAGTAACTGCGAAGCTTCCTTCTCCTAAAATTCCATTATGAAAAGAATTTCATCATTCCTTAGGAGCGCATTCAAGACAATTAAAGGCACAACCCGGACAGAAGTTGTAAGAACGGTTCCCTTCGTTCTGTAGATAGATGCCTGAGGACAATCACAATGTGGCATTTCCGTGCACGGAAATCAACCGACAAGAGCGCTAGGGCCTTGCAAAGTAAGCTGCTGCAGCTGCAATTTATCAGGCTGTTGTCTGGCGCCCTCTCATCTGTTGCGCTCTCTCGCCTCATACTCTCCTCTCCGCGCTTAGTCTCTCATTCCTTAGCACAGCCGATTAGGAAGGTGAGTGAGCCCTTAACCTAAGCGTTTTTTCGGATTTTTCTTTTTTTTCCTTTTTTCTTTACTGCCGGCCCATTTCCCACTGAAATATTCACATTCGTGTGCAAGAACCACACCAATTTGATTCTGGAGCATGTCTTTGAACGTACCAATATCAAGGCTGATCTCATTCGGTTCGACTCCACAAGCACGAGAGATTCGCACTCCTTTGCCATAGCTGAGCTCCTCAATAGCGTTCTTGATCTCAGGCCACAGCATATCCATAATCATTCCTGAAATCTTCCTACATAGTGGACATTTATTTGGGCGAGTATAAAGTGATATAACAAGTTCTTACCTCTCATTAGATCTTGCATAAAAATTCCCCACGATTTCGGAAACGCACCAACTTCCATCTCGATATTGGTGTCCAAAAGTTGAACAAGAGTCCTTGAAATTAAAAATGATGAAACACCGCCTATGGAACTCCGAAAAATGGTGTTCTCGAAGGCAAAATAGTCTAATTCATTCGCATTACACCGAATCTAGAAGACATCAGCATAATTATGCCCAGATCCTTGAAACTATGCTCAAAATGACGTGACAAACGTTCTAGCAACTTTCCAAAGTTGAAGAAGCTGCTGAGGGCGATACTTTTCTTGATACTACCACAGGCACATTGGTAGCAGGGGCTAACATTAAAAGGCAAGCCCGGGCACAAAGAGGGTGTGTAGAGAGCATATGAAGTTGTTTGTGGGATGTGATCTGAAAGAGAAAAAGAAGGCAGAAGA